ATATATATATGTATATATATAATAAAAATATATAAATATAAATATATGGGTCAGTTCCATTTTCTTGATTCCCGAGGAAAGAAAGGGTCCATATTCTAGATCTACACTCTAGGGTCAACAGAGTTACCTGGCACATGGCAAGTTCAAGTGTGGAACATACATCGTTTTGAACATGGGAGAAAGCTTATAGGGGGGCATCTGATGTGACCCCCTCATGCATTCTAGGATCTAAGAAAGTAGATTCTGTCCCAGACTCCAAGAGACAACATAGCTATGCCACTTGGCCTATCTGGGATGCACTGTGGCTAGGCCAGCTCAAAATAATAAGTCTCAGTACTACTCTTGCTGGAAATATTGGGACCAAGGCATGCTCTCTTGCATCTGGGTGTGAATTTGGGAATGATTATTACTATTCAGGCTATATATACAAGAATGCAAAGCCAAGAGAATTGAAGAGAAATAGAACTGAAACCCTAATGATAGGAATCTTTTAGTTAATCCATATTTGAAACCTGCCCTATTTCTAGACTTTTCAATGATATGAATACAAAAACAAAATCTCCGTACTGCTTAATCTCATTTGGATTAGGATTTTCTATTACTTGCAACTGCAAGTATCCTAACTGCAAAAAAGTGAATGGGAAATAGTTTCACAAGATGGGAGAATATAATTTGATTAATAAGCATTAATATAAAAATAAATTATAATGTAATAAAGCAAAAAAGGCAAGAAAGGGAGAAATGGGGTAGTGGAAAGAATGTGTAAGTAGAGCTGAAAGCCATTTTAAAAGACATTTCTGCTTTCCAACATGCTTACCTGTTCAAAACTCCATTGGAAACCAGAGCTTCCTTAGGATGAAAATACTTGTAATACACATTTCTAACCACAGAGTCTTAAAGGGAAAAAGAAGAGGTATATTTTAGACTGGAAATCAGATTGCTATTACACATTCATACATATTACATATTACACATTCAATTTTGACCTGAAAGGAACCTTGGAAGTCTGCTCCAATCCCCTACATTTTCAATAGAAGAAGCTTAGGCCCAGAAGGCACAGGCTGCTGGTGAGCCCCAAATGCTGAGCCATGTGACCCCACCCTAGGCTATTTCCATTATACCAGTGGGCCCAGAGGGCCATGATATGAACAAGGAATAGGAAATCAGTGCCTCTATTTAAAATGCTAATAATTACCATTATTAACCATGATTCCATATTCTTCTAGTAGAAAGTTAATATTGGTGTCAAATCTGGATTCTCCACCTTCTCCTAACATCACAAGGATATCTCCACCACTGTCCAGGTACTTCTTTAGGACTTCAAACTATACAAAGGGAAAATATCAATCTATGAATATGCTCAAAAGACTTTTGTCCAAAATACTTGTTTCTTAACTAGTTAAAAAACAAAACTTCAGGGCCAGGTATTTAGCTCAGTGGCACTGTGCTTGCCTTACAAGCACAAGGTCCTGAGTTCAATCTCTGATACCATTTAAAAAAAAAATCATCATCATCATCATCATCACCATCATCATCCTTCAAATCTATAGGGCATTTAAATTTAAATGTATATAAGATAATATAAAGTATACTCCGCATGATCTCCAAGCTTGTCTTTGAGCAAATAATTCTAAAATACTCACACTACACTGCCATTTTCAAAGTCAATTGTCTGGATAGCAAACCAAAAGTGAAGAACTATTAGCTAAAGGAAGCTCACCAAATTGCATTCAGCAGTAGTCGTGGTGTACACCTATGAGATCTCAGACTAACAGCATCTCCAGACATTGCTAAATGTCCCCTTGGGAGGAGAGGAGGAAACAAAACCACCTCTGGTTGTGAACCACGGATCTAGACCAGTGATAGCAAACCTTTTAGAGACCAAGTGCCCAAACTGCAACCCAAAACCCACTTATTTATTGCAAGGTGCCGACTTGGCAGTGGAACCTGAGTACGCAGTGCTTGGCTGCTGACACGGCTGGGCTGGTGTGGCGACAGGCACCACGTCTTCTCCTCAAGTTCCACCAAGGGTATCAGGATGAAGGCCTGCGTATCACCCCAGGATCAGCCCACCAAACCACAGTGAGAAATGCAAATTGCCTGCTTATTCTGTGGGAAGCTTTCTTATTCTCACAAAGCTACAGAAGAAAGAAGAGAATAGAGCTGACCTTGCTGGTTCAGCCTGAGAAAACTGGGGGGTTCTGGAGCCCAGACCAATAGTTTTTAACTTTTTTCATTAAGCACCCATCAGAAAAGAATGTGAACATGGGCCAGGCTTGGTGGTGCATGCCTGTAATCCCAGCAGTAGGGAGGCTGAGGCAGGAGGATCCCTGTGAGTTCGAGACCAACCTGGGCTACATAGTGAGTTCCAGGTCAGTCTCAACTACATAGTGAGATCCTGTCTCAACCTCCCCCACAAAAAGAATGTGAACATGAACTCCAATATGTATATTTTTGTATATACATTTTATAATTTCAGACATACCCTCTAAAGAGGAAATTTTTGTTTTCTTTTTATTGAGGTTATTGGTACAATCTAGGTATACAATACAATTACATTCATCATTGGGATTCTGTACCTTTACACGACAGGTCTTGATTCTCATTTTTCCCCGTGTCCCTGCCCTCCCTTCACCCCCTCCTCCCCAAGAGGAAATATTTTAATAGGAAAATTATGAATAGTAGATACAACTTCTCTCTGTACCTCAGTGCTCCCTCACACACACTTCCCACCTTTGGAAACCACTGGGCCAGACAAGTTTTGCCACAGCCCTCTTGCTCTTGCACACTCTGGATATCCTTCTCCCCCTGCCTACCCCACAATATAAAAAAACAAACAAATCAGTGATTTCAAGACAGCTTTTGTGTGCTTGAGACAGGCTGTAGTCCAAGCTGGTCTTGAAGACATTGCCTGAATCCGTAGTGCTGGGATTACCATGTGAACCACCATGACTGGCTCAAAATAAGTTTTTAACAAAGATCCTTTCCTCGGGCCTTATAACCTTTTTTAAAAGGTATTATTTATTTTTATGGAAGTAAAATATTTATTGGTACCTCTTAGATATTCACAATAACACTCATCATAGGAAATTTGTTTTGTTTTTTTTTGAAACAGGGTCTCACTATGTAGTTGAGTTGAGATTGACCTGGAACTCACTATGTAGCCCAGGCTGGTCTCGAACTCACAGCGATCCTCTTGCCTCAGCTTCCCAAGTGCTAGGATTACAGGCGTGCACCACCATGCCCGGCTCATCATAGGAAATTTGCACCTATACATGATATACTCCACCTCTTCCCTTTTTCCCATTCCCCCCGCCTTTGGATCACCCCTCCCTTCTCTATGTATAAAAGCTCTGTTTCCATTTTCTCCTTCTATTTTCACTTTTTTTCCATGTTCTCTTCCTTCCTTTTCCCCTCCCTGCTCCCTTGGTCCATTTCCCATTTCTTCCTATTTCCCAATATGTAGTATACATAATTTTAGTCCTTATTTCCTCTTCCAGTTTCTTACACAAGAGAACCATTGCTGTATTTAAGCATGTGTGTCCAATTTATTTCACTTAAGAGTATGGTCTCAAGGTGCATCCATTTAGCTATAAATGTCTCAAGTTTATCCTTTTTGGCACAGCAGTACTCCATTGTATAAAAAAAAAAACACATCTATTCACTCATTGGTCGATGGGAATTTGGGTTGTTTCCAAGATTTAGCTATTGCAAATTGTGAGGTTTTATAATCTAACACCTCCTTTTTTCTTTGCTTTTGTGGAAATGCGGAACTTAGAACATGGTTATTGTTAGGTGGTTAATTTGTTTGATTTCCCTAGATTATCGGGTCCCTTGTGAGGTGCGTTCATGTGCTATCTGACTGTGACCTCTATTGTCAGTCCCAGGGCCTCACGTATAACTTGGCACATAAGAAGTCCCTAACAAACAGTTTTGGAAAAGGAAGGGAGGGAAGGAGCAATGAGGCATAATTACATGGATCCCAAATCCTACACAACAGCCTGGATGTCTCACTATATTCTATTTCTCCTTCTCTTCCTTTTGAATTACTGTCAAACTCTTTTTTTTCATACTGTAGAGCCCTAAATATTTGCTGTATTCTATGACTGACAAGGCAGGTCAAGTTTGCAGTACACACAAATACATACATGAAAATAGATATATTTTTTTCTCAGAACAATTTTTGCTTGGGAACCTGACTCTCATTACTGCCTGGTACTGGGAATTTATGGTGTCTAAATGCTGTGGAAATAGAGTTGGCATTGTGGCATTGGTATCTCTTATGTCCTGTTGGCTGTCTGGCATTTTGAGAAAGAGATACATAAAAGATGTGGTGTGTAAATTACACTGTTGGGCAAAGGACTGTCCACCATTATGTTTTACAGTGTGAAAGCAAGCGTCGCATGGTTTATATTATTGACATTGTATGATATGGGCCACTGGCTCTTGATGGAAATATTAAGCCTTTAGCAGGTATTTAGATTGTCATATTTATGTTTAAGGGCCTTTTAGTGGGCAGGAGATAGAGATGGTAAAGGAATTTTGAGATGGTCAGACATGTCCCACATAGTGAAGAACTTTCTTACAACTTCTGAATGTCTTTTCATATAGTCATGTAAGTTTAAAAAAGAAAAACAAGCACCAGAGGCAGCAACAGCAACAACTGAACCTACATTTTAATTCCTATTAATACATAAACACAAAGCACTTTTTGTATGGGTTAATATAAATCAAATTCCCAGGTATACAACTATGTGGAAACTGAGAGAAGAATTATACATTTTATTTTAAAAATGTACTGTTACAATTTAAAAATGTACTGTTTTGGAAAATCCCATCATCAATGGCCACATGGCTCATGATCTGAGCTACCAACACACCACACCTGTATCAGGCTGCACTGGTACCTGTTCTAGTCTTGGTGAGTTTAGATATTTACAGTAGTGCCTCGGTTCATGAATTTCATTCTTTCCATGGTGGTAGCAAACCAAAGTGGATGAGAACCACATCAAATTTCCCCATAAAGGTCAACATTGAACCTAACCATGGCAATTTTTTTTTGTTTGTTTGTTTGTTTTTTGTTTTTTGAGACAGGGTCTCACTATGTAGTTGAGACTGACCTGGAGCTCACTATGTAGCCCAGGCTGGTCTCGAACTCACAGTGATCCTCCTGCCTCAGTTTTCCGAGTGCTGGGATTCCAGGTGTGCGCCACCATGCCCGGCTAACCACAGAATTTGATTCAGTTCTTGTCCAATTCGGTTTGCAGCCAGAATAGTGGAGTGAACCAAAGTACCATGTATTTAACCTTTATTTCAAATGTCAAATATTAAGAAATATTTCATTGTATGTATACACAAGAATTAACAAGCTAAATAAAATACACTTTCTCCCTTGTGTACATATGCTTAGCCAGTCATAATGTGAAGTACATTTTGTTCTTTTATTGTGGTACTGGGGACAGAACCCAAGGCCCTCATACTGAGCTACACTCCTAATCCATTTTTTTATTTTGATACCATGTCTCACTAAGTTGCTAAATTGCCCAATCTGAGCTTGAATTTGTGATTCTCCTGCCTCAGCCTCCCATAGTGCTGGGATTACAGGCATGTGCCACTACACCAGCTACATATATTCTTTTATGAATCATCTTCATTTAATTTCTTTACATACAGGATATTAATGTATTGACTTATATTTTTCAAATGATGGTGATGGAATATATGCATTTCAATTCAGGGTAACACAGGTGGCATTTACACCATAGGCAGACATTGGTCTAACAGTGAAAAACACTCATCTGCGCCATGTGGTCACCCTGTGATAACTAAATCCCATCACTACCACGTGAGTGCAGAGTCACTGTAGTTGAGGTGGGGAGCAGGGGAAACTCTTCAGCCTGGTTTCTAGCCTGATGCTAGCATCTAATACCAGACATATAATGTCTTCCCTGACACTGAAGCTTCTGGAGGACAGTATCAAGATGTCACACAGCTCTGGAGCAGTGAATCGACCCCTTTACTAGTCCTAGGAGGCTAGAAGAAATGTCCATGAAAGCAGTACTCTCCTCTCTGGAAGACCCAGCTGACCATGGGGATCCACCCTCTGGAGTAATAAAAACACAGGGAACATCAGTTCTTAAAAACCAAAGATTTTTCTCTCTTCCTTCCCTCCTTATTCCAACTCCAAAGAGAAGGATGGTGCCAGCAATTGGTCTGCTGGGAGGATATTTTATTAGGCTAGCATTCCAAAGAGCAAGTTTGCCTCTCAAAGAACTTGTGACTTTTGGAAGCCACAGCCTTTCAAGGCTGGGAACCCATCCCCACTTGGGAAAAGGTCCAGACACCAGGCTCCAGCCCTCTCTCCAGATACCCTTGCTTTGCCGAGGCTGCCTGCTTTGTTGGCAAAGATCCTGTCACTTCTCTTTTTCGCTTCCTTACGTACAGAAGGAAGGTGGAGCCAAAGACCAACAAGTAACGAATCATTCCTTTTTTTGGAGGCTGCTGCCCTCTGTGGTCCATTTCCTTCAGGTTCTTAAGAGGCAGGGGTCTGGCCAGGGATTTAGCTCTGGTTCAGCAGCCTGCCTTGCAAGCACAAGGACCCAAGTTGGATCTCCAGCACACAAAAAAAGAGGCAATCTACACAATCCCAATGCTAATTCTTACTCCTTCTCTCAATTCCTGATCAAACAGTTATGCCTCGGTTCATCCCCTGCCCAACCAGAAGGATATCTTGCAACAAACAGAGAAAAAGGGCAACAGAAACTGCTCCTCTGCAGACCACCTCCCCAGGAAAAAAACCAGAAATATCAAGAGATCTTGGCCTGCCTCCACCTCCCTACTCCTCACACCCTCACCTACCATCAAGCCACTTCCCTTTCTACACCAAGTCTGTGGGACAAGGTTCTTGCTGTGTCCTAGATTCTTTGCTTAACTGTGGTGAAATATACCTCACCTGACTTTCGCATCTTAACCATTTTTAATTGTACTGTTCAGCAGTATTAAACACACTAACATCTTATGTCATCAATTTCCAGAACACTTTTCATCTTTCAAACCTGAAATCTATTAAGTAATTCCCCACTCCCCTCTTCCTTGGACCCTGGAAACTACCATTTTTGGTCTTTATAAAGTCTACTACTGTAGATACCTCATGTAGGTGGAACTGCATAATATTTATCTTTTTGTTACTGCCTTGGTTCATTTAATATAAGGTTCACCTATCTTTAAGCATGTGTCAAAGTTTCCATTTTTTTTGTGTGTGTGTACTGGGGATTGAACCCCAGGCCTGATAAATACACAATCTACCAATGAGCTACAGCCCCGGGCCCTCTAACTTGCTAAGGCTGAATAATATCCCATACTAGGTACAGAGATTTGTAGATCTATTCATCTGAAAACAGATACTTGGGCTGTTTCCCCCTTTTAACTGTTGTGAAAAGTGCACTATTTAATATGGGTGTACAAATTACTCTTTGAGATCCTTTAAATTCTTTTGTATACATGCCCAGAAGTGAAATATGGATCATACGGTAACCCCTCTGTGATAAAGACAAAGATTGACGTAACCTCCTTAAGCCAACACAGTTAAGTAGTGAAGGGCGATTTAAATCCAGGATTTTAGAGCCCGGGTTCTTAATCATCTCACTTTATTTTTCTTTTAGGATATTTCTTACCTCAGCAGCAGTAAATTTTTCCCTTGGCCCGGCTGTAATCCATAGTTTCACCCCAATTAGCTTCTCAGATGTGATTTCATCTTTTAAACTGGAAATACGATTTTAGAAGCAAGTGTTAGATCCACAATTTAAACCAATTTATCACACAGCCTCTTGACTGTAAGAAACCAAGGCCACAGAGGCCAAGAGACAAAGGGACCTCCCAGCCTCACTCCCAAGGTGAGAATCCCCTCACAGGCCTGCCCCAGAGTCATCTAGCCTCTGTTCAAATACTTCCAATAAGTCAATGTGTTCAAATTAAACCATGCTAAAGTATAAAGAAATCTTCTATCCACGTGTGGCGGTGTATGACTGTAATCTCAGCATTCTCAAAGCCTGAGGCAGGAGGATCACAAAGTTTAGCCCATCCTGGACAACTTAGTGAGACCCTCTATCAAAAGTAAAAAATAAAAAGGGTGCCTAGCATGGTAGCCACAGCCGTAACCCCAGTATTGAGGAAGCTGAGGCAGGAGGATAGCCTCAAGTTCAAAGCCAGCTAAGCTACATAATGAGTTCAAGGCTAGCCTGAACTACATAGTGAAACCTTGACACAAAAGACAAAAAATGAAAAGAAAAAAAAAAAAAAAAAAACCTAAAAAGGGCTAAGGATGTAGCTCAGTGTAAAGGCCCTGGGTCAGTGGTTCAATCCCTAGTGCTAAAAACAAAAATAAAACTCCATCTACTATTTCCACTGGCTGTTCCATTAATCAACGTAATTATATAGTCTTACTCAGTAAGAAAACATACATACAAAGCTAGGTGTGGTGGTGCGTACCTACAATACCAGCTTCCTGGTAGGCTGAGGCAGGAGGATCACAGGTTTAAGGCCAGCCTAAACAACTTAATGACAGTTTGTCTCAGAATAAAATGGATTGGGGGTGTAATTCAGTGGTGTAGTTCAGAGCAGTTGTGTAACATACGCAAACCTTTGGATTCAATCCCCAGTAACTCCCCAGTACACATGCACATGAACACACGAAAGAAAACATTACACATACATTATCTATAAATGTTTTCATTTAATTTTCATTTTTTCTTTTACTAAATTGAAGTATTGACCCAAGTTTAAATATAGAGAAAGATTTCAATATTTAAAAACAAAATTTATTGTACATAAGAAAATAAGACTTCAACATAACCAGGCGGCTATAATGATCACTTAGAAGGGAAAACAAAACACATGCTCATGGTCACCTCTGAATCTTCCAATTACTCTGAAGTCTTTTCTGCAGGGATTTATAGCCACTGTTGATGGTAAATACTTCCTTTTTGTATGCATTGAAAAGAATGGTGCTCCGAACATCCTTCTCCATGGTTGCCTTATAGAAGAAAGATGGATCAGAAAAACAATAAACAACATTCCCCAAGAAAGTCCCACCCTCCCAAAACAGTTGCCTTCCACTTCTAATTTATAAAGGAAGGGTATACAATTGCAGCCTATCCATGAAACTTGTAATTCTCAAAGTTAGGACTGAAATGTATAAACACAGCTAAGAGAGTCAAACAAAACCTACCCTATTTTGGCTTTTGTGCTGAGCTTTTGCTCTGACCCTCCCACCACCTCACTTCCACGGCACTGCCCTCCCCTCACCCTACTTGGATGCCCTAAAACCAAGATTCCAACCTGATTCCTCACTGCCAACCATTGTTAAGTATAGGGTAGAGGCTTCTAGAGTTCTTGGAGATAGCCTTGCTATGTTGCCAGGGTTGGCCTCAAACTCTCAATTCTCCGGCCTCAGCTTTCAGAATAGCTAGGACTACAGGTGTGGACCATCATGCCTGACACCTTCTAGATTCTTTTTTTTGCGGGGTGTGTGTGTGTGTGTGTGTGTGTGTGTGTGTGCTAAGAATCAAACTCAGGACCCTGTGTTTGCCAGGCAGGTGTGGGACCACTGAGCTACATCCCTGGCCGTAATTCTTTCTATACATACATTAACTCATGGCTTTATTTTATGTTTTATGAAACAGGATCTTTTTTTTTTTTTAAAAAAAACAGAGTCTTGCTATGTAATTCAGCCTGACCTTTATTTATTTATTGGCCTTTAAACTCACTGTGTAACCCAGGCTGACGAACTTGCAGCGATCTTCTTGCCTCAGCCACTCCACTGCTGGGATTATAGGTGAGTGCTACCACACCTGGCTCGAAATAGGATCTTATATTACATATGTACTACTCAGCAACCTTTTTCTTTCTTTTCTTTTCTTTCTTTTTTTTTTTTTTTTTTTTTTTTTTTTTTGCTATACTGGGAATTGAACTCAGGGCTTTCACACTAAACTACATCCCCAGCACTTCTTTTTCAATTATTCATTTTAAGACAGTGCCTTACTAAGTTAGCCAGCTGGGCTAGAATTTTTGATCCTCCTGTCTTGGCCTCCCAGAATGCTGAGATTACAGGTGCGTTCACATCTGGCTGCAATATATTTTCTACCTTTATATATATGATATTCTTCCAAATAGCTACACAGTATTCCATTTTAAGGATGTACCACAATTTTTTTAATCAGTCATGACTGGACTGACATATGTTTCTTCAGATGTTTTGCTAGTAAAACATATTTACTAAAAACAAACATGACATTTTTGTGCACTTTGCATGTCTGTGGAATAAATTCCTACTTATTAAGTGGCTGAATAAATAATATACAAACTGCCTTTCAAAAAAACTGTAATAATGTATACTGCCACTAACATTCCATACAAGCCTATCTATTTCTTGTTTTGGTACCGGGAATCGAACTTGGGAACTTATGCTTTGTGAGGCAGGCAGCGGAACCACTGAGCTATATCCTCAGCCCCAATTCTATTTCTAATTTTTGCCACCTTTACCAATAAAATACAATAGTCCTTCTTACCCATAGTTTTTTTTCCCAAGGATTCAGTTACCAAGGGTAACTGTGACCTAAAATTATTAAATGGAAAAGTCCAGAAATAAGCAATTTGTAAGTTTTAAATTGTTAGTCACTCTGAGTAGTGTGATAAAATAGTGCACTGTCCCGAAAATAAGAGAGACTGGAAGGAAAATAGGGAAACAAAGCTTTTATAAATAAGGAGGGATCGAAAGGAGGGGAATGGGGAAAAAAAAGCCATATACAACATGTACAGGTACAAATTCCCTATGATGAATGTTATCATTATGTGTATCTAAAATGTACCAAATAAATGTTTTGCTTCAAAAAACAAAACAATCTTGACTGTGGCAGTGTTCTGGCTCTAAATGGTTGAGATTCCAAATAATGGTTTTGTTGCAGCTCGGCAGAAAAATAAAATACTCCAGTATTTTAAGATCCTAAAGAATGCCACTGGACATGTACTACAGCTTCTTGTGTCTGTTTTGGAATGCTCGAATATGGCCCTCTCTAATGCTGGATTTCTAGGGTGTTAGGATTATCAGTACATTATTTTTAATGTCATTATGCAATCTAATTTGTAAATGGAAGCTTTCTAATAAATATGGTTAATAACCTTCAACCTGTTAAAACTTAAAAAAAAACTTCAGTGAATTTGTTTTTTAACAAGATTTGTGTGCGTTGATGCTTTGATATCCCCTTTTCACATTGTGCCAGTGGAATGGGGTGTTTGTTAGTTCTTTATATGTCAAGGAGATGCTTCAAAATGTCAATTACTTTAAATTTAAATCACCTCTCAAGAGACCAAGGTACATTTACCTCATTGTGTATATAATGTTTAATATTTGTCAGAGCATTCTCAAGGTTTGCAGTTTTATTTCTATAAAGTATGGGTGTTGTTGCTAAATTACCCAAGTGGCACTGTATTGTTTATATTGTTCCCCAAATAACAGCATCTGTATTTTGTTTTCTGTATTTTATTGTATTTGTGCAAAATCCTTTTGACTTTATCAGTGTAAACTCTACCCTTTCAGATATGTACAGAAAATATCCATATAAATTTTCACTTATGTTGAATGATTTTGAGAAGCCGGCAGAGGAGAAAAAAAATAAATAAACTGCATTTCCCCGTAAGTTTTAAAAAATTGCATGTTGTATTTGTAGTAATAGTCTAAATGAACTGTAAATAGGAAACAGGAGAGTGATGTTTATGTTAAGTCTTAATACTACAGTAGAAAAATGCCGGGGAGTTAGTTCAGTGGTTCTGCCGCCTGCCTCACAAGAGCAAGGACCCAAGTTCGATCCATGGTACAAAAAAAAAAAAAAAAAAAAAAAAGAAAAGAAAAAGAAAGAAAGAAAACAAAGAAAAATTAGGAAAAATGAAAAGTGGAGGCAATACAAATAAATTACCTCCCCCATCACCCCCAAAAGTTTTGCATTGTCTGCTCTACGAATCATTCCTTTGTTCGGTGCATCCCTGCTGTATACATTACCCTACTGTTCGTCAGTTACCAGATTCTGTGTTGATATCACCCTGGTTGTGTTCAAGTAACCCTTCCATAGTGTGTCTGTGCTACATCATTCTCCTCATTCATCTCATGACACAGGCACTGGATCATCTCATAGCATCACAAGAAACGTGAGTAAAGCACTATATCTTTTTTTTTTTTCTTTGAGACAGAGTCTCACTATGTAGTTGAGACTGACCTGGAACTCACTATGTAGCCCAGGCTGGTCCCGAACTCACAGTGATCCTCCTGCCTCAGCCTCCTGAGTGCTGGGATTACAGGCGTGCGCCACCATACCCGGCTAAGCATTATATCTTGAGAGATGACATTCACCTACTTTATTATAGCATATTAGTATAACTGCTCTATTTTATAATTATTGTTAATCATCTACTGTGACTAATTTATAAATTAAACTTTATAGTAGATATGTATGTATAGGAAAAAACCAGCATAAATAGGGTTTAGTAACACCTGTGGTTTCACGCATCTGAGAGGGTTTCTGGAATACATCCCCTGAGGATAAGGGAGAATTACTGTTTCAGTCACTTATATTTCTTTTGATTTGCTTATCCATGTACTCTACTCATTTTTCTCCTGAGTTTCATATTTTTCTAATTTTCATTCTAAGTATTTTCATATGTTTAGATGCTTTTAGACTTGGCTTCTGGAAGCTGGTTTGATGTAATTTCATGGGTACTACAGTTTTTTTGTTTTTTGACACAGGGTCTTGCTTGTAGTTCAGGCTGGTCTTGAACTCACTATGTAGCCCAGGATGGCCTCGAACTCATGGTGAACCTCCTGTCTCAGCCTTTCAAATGCTGGAATCATAGCCATTCACCACCAAGTCTAGAAGATTTTAAATTTTATAAAGTCAAAAGTACTAATCTTTTTCTTTTTTTTTTGTACTGGGGATCATACTCGGGTCCTTGCACTTAGCGAGGCAGGCCACTGAACCGCTGAGCTAAATCCCCGGCCCAAAAGTACTAATATCTTTTTCTAGCTTCTAGATTCTGTGACAAATTTAGAAATGTTCAAAGTTTATCAACGTCTTCTTCCAGTAGTACTATTGTGATATAATTTTTTAAAATAAATTGTAGCACTTGGGAGGCTGAGATAGGAGTATGTCACAAGTTTGAGGCCAGTCTGTGCTACATAGCAAGTTCAAGTCCAGCTTAAATTACATAACAAAACTCTGTCTCAAAAAATATTTTTTAGGTCAGGGATTTAGCTCAGTGGCACTGTGCCTGACTTGCAATTGCAAGGTCCTGAGTTAAATCCCCAGTATTGGGAATATAAAACATTTAAACTTTCATCCATTTGGAATATATTTTGGTGCTCCAAATGGATTTCATTACTTTTCCTCAATTATTAGAAGGCTGCTCATCACCAATCCATCTTTTCACAGCTGATGTAAACTACTGCTTTGGCTATATAATGAATCCCTATACATATCTGGGTCTTATTCCAAATTCTGTCATATTTTGTGTGCCTACAAGTTTCTATTCAATTCTATACTAATTACTGTTATGACCAAGATCCAAAATATCCTATAAAAGGCTGATTGTCCGAGGTTGGGTATTTGGCTCAGTGGTTCCGTCACCTGCATTGCAAGCACAAGAACCCAAGTTCAATCCCCAGTACCAAAAAAAAAAAAAAAAAAAAAAAACTAAAAAAAAAAAAAAAAAAAAAAAAAAAAAGCCTGATTGTGTTAAGAGGTTTGATTGCTGGTCAGCTTTAGGAAGTGACCAGATCTTGTGGGTTAATTCACCGATGAAGGGACTACATCATGGACACTCACTTTGGGGACTACATGTATCTGGTCCCCTGGCCCTTCCTCTCTGCTTCCTCAATGCTCTAAGGTAAGCAGCTCTGCTTTACCAGCCACTTCCACCATGATGCTCTGTCTCACCTCAGGCCCATAGCAATGGAGCCAGCTGACCATGGATTGAAATCCTTGCAGTGATGAGCCAAAATAAACTTTTCTTAGCTGGGGATGTAGCCCAGCAGCACAGTGCCTACCTGGCAAGGACATGAGTACGATTCCTGGTACAATAAATAAATAAATGAATATTTCTTCATTTAAACTGATATTCTCAGATATTCTGTCACAGCAATGAAAAGCTAACACAGCTATCGTACTGTTATATAACATCTTACCCAGCCGAAGAACCAATTCTCTTTATTTTATATTATTTTCCTCCCATTAAGTTTATTGGTGCATTTAAAGGAAACAATATAGTTACATTTATCATTGGGATCTTGTACCTTTACATGATATGTCTTGGTTCTTGTTTTTTCCCCATATCCCTGCCCTCCCTTCACCCCCAATTCTCATTATTACCTTTAACTTTTAGAATTTTTCAGGCTAGTGTCATTTATTTATTTTTCCCAGTGCAATTTTAAAATCATTTTGTCTAGTTGAAAAAAATATATGTCCAAACCCCGCTCTCTATTATAGTCATGCAGTTGAATAATTTTTGAAAAAGGTCCTATGATTCTACCATTGTGACACCACTTTTTACTTTTTATTCCATCTATTATGTAATTTCATATTTGTACATGCAATATTGTATTGTTTTCTCCAGTTTCCTGATTTTTTTTTTAAAAATGCATTCAATTATTAGGTTAGTAGGTGCAAGAACTATTTACTGAGTGGTTATCCCAGAAAAAGTAATCAGTACTGGAATTCATATATTTTCGCTTTTGTCACTAATAATTTTTTGGCCAAAAGTCAGAGTCTCTGAAAAGGGGAATATATTCCTTTCGGCATCTGATGGCTCTTAAAGAGTGTGATGAAAGCTACACTTCCAGTTAACAGTTTGTTGTTCGGGTCCTGGGAAGTCCTGTCCTATCACAACGACTTAGAAATGAGTTTCCTTAAGGACAAATAGCTTAAAAACAGTAACAATGATAATATTAAAAATAACATTTGGGTTGCGCTGTACAATCATTCTCTGGCTTTCACTTCAATAAGCTTATCAGCCAACTCCTATTTTTCCAGATGAGTGACGGAAAGACCAAGCGCCACAGCAAAGACAGACAAAAGTCTAAAACCTTACGATTCCTTGTCCAATGCGCTTTCATATTCAGTACAACTAAAAATCCACTCAATATGAGGCGTTAGTGATTGGCACCCAGTCTGCGATCTGGGATCTCTTTTTTACGCGCCCTTGGTAGACTTTACCTTAGCGGACCTCGGAGTTTTCGTAAAAGTGGCCCAGAGGTCTCCAGAGCAGTTTGGCTAGGCCGTCGTTAGACCCCAAGCCACCCCGACGCCCCTGCCGACTCACTAGGTCGGAGACCTGCTCACCTGAGGTCCAGTGGCCACCATTTTCACCTGACGTCAGCCAGCATCCTGCCAACAAGTATCCAGGACCGCTTAGCAACCGCGAAGGCGTGGCCCAGACAGGGAGTTACCTCCGCAGCGACGTGATGACGACAAAACAGCAATCTCCAATTGCGGTGTCAGGGGCTGGTGGGTAGGGGTGGGGCTAATTCTGGACTGTACCATTGCTATGAATGGGGGGTAAAGCTAAACACAACGAGGACTATTTTTGGCATAAAGAAGCCCATTTTATTCTGTTATTTAGTAGCAGCTATTATTAGAAACTAATAAGAATGGTAGGTCCAGAAAGCCCAAAGTCTGCCCCACCATGGGGGGCGAAAAACAGTAGATTCCCACGGTGGTCGAGGAGCGGACCGCTTCAGCCTTCATCCACCCCCACCAGGGCGCAGGCGCAAAAGGTCGGGGCCGGAAAGCGGGCGGAGTATAAATACTTAGGAAGTGGTTGACGGCTGTTGGGGATACCGGTCTGGGGAAGTAATTTCTGGGCTTTGAAAGGCCCGGAAAGACTTTCAGGATGGGCAGGTGTACGGTGAGAATGGTAACCCAAGATGTTCTCTTCTGTTACCCCTACATCTTTTTAGGGCCGTAATGCTAGGTTGAGCATCAAGGAATATATGAGTGACCCGCGGCCCTCTAGGTGTCTGCAGGTGCGGAGTTAGATCTTAGCCAAAACATAAAAATATAATCTGCCTCGAGAAGTTGTGAGGGGCCCAAACTGGTCAAAATGGCGCCCATACTGACTGGAGATCTAAAAAAAAAAAAGTGGTAATGTTTAGAACAAGGGCTGAGGGCAGCTGGCACAGTGAGCAGAAGGAACTGTTTGTGCAAGAGAGCCTTCACCGTGAAAATGGGAAACCAGATGCCTGCAGCCACAAACATGCCTCTCGTCTTCCCAGGGGAGCGCCAGTGCCTGCCCTGAGAGGGCTATGGATTGCTGTAAAACGCCGCAGCAGCCTCAAGTCTCAAAGAAAGTGCAGACAATCTTAACAGTTTTGATTTACACTTATGTTTGTTTTCAGCATGTACAGAGTAGTAGTGAGGATATTAAAACGTATAATTTGTTTCGTCTTTTCACAACCATGGTCACTGCAAATTGAAAAGGTGAAGAGGATGACTGAAAGAATCAAACCTAAGCTCTTGGCTAAGCAGATACATTCAGCTACATTCTCAGCTCAGAAAATTCTCTTGTGAGGATGCTTCATTTTTGTGCAAAATTGGGTGACTGTAGCCTGCAGTTAGGGATCAAAAAGGAAATGATGTAGAACTGGGACAGGCAGTGTTTACTAGAAGATTAAAAGAGCACCTGCCCGGAGCATTTCTCCCACTGAGCCTGTAGAAAAACAGATTTTAGAGTCAGATGCCAGTAAGTTCAATTCCTGGCTGTGGCTTGTACCAGCTGGATGACCTTGGGCAAGGTTGTTTAATCTTGAGTGGATGTTTCCTATTTGTAAAGTGAGATAATTTCTAAATGTTGGCTTTTAATAAGGATTGTAGATAATGCATATAAAACTGACAATGTATTCAGTAAACAGGTGTAGGATGATCAGTTTACTAGCATAGCTTTTCTTCATTTTTTTGTTTTATTTTTTTTGACACAGGGACTGCCTCAGCCTCTCAAGTGCCAGATAGGTGTACGCCATCATGCCTGGCTTCATTTTTTTTTTTCTATCTTGGTTAAAACAGTGTGATTTTACAGTCTTAGAATATTATGCATTTTATAACCCATAGCTGATAGCGTGCTTTTGACAGTACCATCATTTTTCTGACAATTATACAGTTTTGTTTTGTTTTTTGCTTTGGGCAGTTGGGAGAATTTTGTCCTCAGGTTCCATTTTAGCAATTAACAAGTGCTCTTAAAATGGACATCAGATTTTCTTTCAATGTTCTCAGCACATGTCAAAGTCTAACATTAGTTCTTCCTGACCTATCTTTGATTTCCAATAAGTCAATGTCACTGATGATTTTTTTCCCATGTTCTCCAAGCCTCATTCCTCATAAATCTTGGGGCACAAGGGGGAGAGGGCCAAAAAATGAAGAAAAGGAGTGAGACTGAGTTAAGAGGAAAAGGCAGTAAAATTGCCAGCACATACTGTTCCTGAGAAAGTTCCTCCCCTTCTCTCCAAAGGAAAAATCTGATAAAGCTATGCTGAAGAATATACCATGGGTCTGGAAAAAAAAACTACTTTTCCACAGAAATAAAGCAGCATAATTCATCCCACAAGAGCAGAGTGTGCTTAATTCTTGAAATGTTACAAGATTACATTTTGCCCAGTCAGAATTGCATTTAGAAGTAATTAAGCTTGAACATGTGGTGCTCAATGGGTGGTCAGGAAGCTCTGGTCACCACATGGGCATTGCACGTGAGGTGGAGCATAGCATTCACTTGGCAGCCAGCTCTAACTATGAATGAGCGTCCAATTGGACGTTCTTCTTCAAAACCACTTTTTATCACTACTGGGTTGTTGCAGCTAAATATTGCCTTGACCCTCATTAGAAATTTTGACAGTCATTCTGCTTGGACCTAATAGACCAAGTCAGGGGCCAACCTGTGCAGAGGTTAAATGCAAGAGCCCTGGAGCTGACTTCCATAACTCCAAGTCCCAGTTCTAGCCTTTATTAGCAGTGTGGCCTTCAAGCAAGGAACAACTTCTCTGGCCTTGTTTCTTCACTGGTAAAAAAGGGATAGTAAAGTCTTATGTTAGGGTTACTTGGATGAAAATTGCTAACAGATATGAAAGAGTCTAGCATAGAAACTGGCTCAGCAAGGCAGGCATTCTCAAGCTGACTGGACAGTAAAACAAAAAAGGAGTGTTTTGTTTGTTTGTACCAGGGATTGAACTTGGGACCTTGGCAGCAGAACCACTGAGTGAAATTCCCGGCCCAAAAAAGAAGTGTTTTAAAGTCTAGGAAGCTCTTAAAATCATAGGGGCATATGGAAAAGGAGTCTTGAGGTTTCCAAGAATGACACTGCTTCACTGGTTTAAGGAGGAAATACTTCAGTTGCCACTGCTGAGAACCAGTTACTATGGTTTGCATTGATGCGATTTCTACACCAGGAACTCAGGTTTTGTGGGTATCATTACCATAGCTACCACTTAAAAGAGATCCTGGTCCCTTCTTTGGGTCAAAGTGTGGCACAAGTGCATCTCTGAACCACATGCCTGTCCCTAGTTCAGAGAAAGGTGGGAAAGTCAGTATCTAACATTTTCAGCTACTCTAAGTGGAGGTAGTTATTTCCCCTCAAGGCTCAGATAATAAGGGATTCTCTGAATATTGGAAGGGGTTCAGATGCCAGACAGCCAAACCCAATAATAACTGTCCATTACCACCCACAACAAAGAAAGACACCATCAACATAGAACAGTAAAAGCTGTTGGTACTACCCTACAGGTTTGTTGCATATCTGTCATTTTCTACATTGAGATAAAAATGCAAACACCAAGAGGCCCTCTGGTAGAGTGCTAGCCGCCTACAAGGTTGTGACTGAGATAACACCACATTTCCATCTCCTACAGCCAGAGCTGGACTTTGACAGGTGTAAACTGAAGACTGGCCAGCATCCTCCCCTTCTCACTTAGCATCAGACCCTCTTTTCTATTAGGGATGGTCATGTGCCCAGGCTCCATTACAATAAGGAGGTTGGTTAGTGAGATGTCAGTAGAAGTCACTGGGTAGGGCTTCGGGGAAAGCTCTTCTTTGGTGCCTTTTTGCCAACCCCTCAACCCCATCCCTCCTTTTTTCCCTGCCCAGAACATAAAAGTGGTGGCTAGACCACCAGAAGCCATTTTTTAAAATCATATAACAACCCTAATATTAGAAGCCATTTTGTCAAGAAGAGCAGAACAGAAATACAGAAAGCCTCTGTATATCTGATGCCCTTTCCTACCATCCCAGACCCCAAGTAACACTGCTTCTTTTAGGGAATGGGAAAAATGCACCTGTTCCTTCTTTAGGCCATCAGACTTATGACTTTGACTCTTATTACCAGCTTGTCTCTGTGGCTTCACAGAAACTTCTCTCCTAGCAGTCCAAGATGTCACTGTCCTCCTGTGCATAGGAAAATCCCAGGAATGCATTTGAGGCCCCAGAGCTGCTGGCCACAGTATCAGGGGTGCAGCCGATGGACTTGGACACAGCTTCCTGGGTGAACTCTGGGTCAAAGTGTTTCAGGTCAGCAGGTCCGGCCTGTCAATATAAGCCAATGATGAGAAAGGAGCACTAGGGTCAATGCTGTCAAAGGAGTGCAAAGTTGTAGGGATGGATATTGGGCTGTGAGTGCCTCCTGGTCATCCATTCTTAGCTATCACTTTCCCATACATTTACCTTAATCATTTTCTGTCATAATTCCATGTGATTGCTTCCTCTAACATCCTGGCTTCCTGCCTGCTCCACACCAACCCCTGACCAGCATATGTTTCCTGACTGCTTACCAGGCACTGTTCGTGGCACTGGGAACGTAGAAACGTAGGAGCACAAAACGGAATGACCTCTGCTATCAAGGATCTCACATTTTGTCGGTGGTAGTAAGACTGGCAATGAGCACATATTCCAGTAGATAATTTAGGGTATTGACAGGTCTTAGATCCGTGGTGGCAAAACTATGGTACAAGTGCTGCAGTGGGCTGTTTATCATTGAACGCTCTAAAAGGTTCGCCATCACTGTGTCTGGGTAGGTCAGAGAGGCATGACCTTGGGTACTTCATATAGTCCTTTCCTATTCCACTTCAGCACTTTTTTTTTTTTTGGCTTTCCAGCTGCCAAGGACTAAGCATTTTTGCTCCCTCTGTCATGTGGTTTCTGCCTTGGAGCCTGCCAACCATATACTTAATCTCCTGAAACCATAGGCTACCGCAAATTAAACCAGTGGGCGTCAGGTTTTGTGTCTCAGCAACAGGAAGGCTAATACAACAGTGTAATGTGGTAGAGAGATACTGGAGCAGCTTTAGCTTTTTCAAAGGAAAAACTGTGGGAGATTGAAAAAGTGATCACAGATCCTTCATTTCCCATCCAGAGGTGGAGTCTCTTTTCATCTTTTTAATGTGGCTTAAGCTGTGAGGCGTAGTAGGCCAATGGGAGGGACACTGACAAATGTGATTCAAGCAAGGCAAGCACCGTATCCCAAGACACAGCCCCAGCCCGAGTAAAGGTGTGAAGAATGCTCACTGAAAGTTGTCTCTTGGTGTGCTTAGAACCCTGAGGTCCGTATGTGAAACAAGCCCAGACCATCCTGCTAGAGGGCGAGTGACCTCAGGAAGGCCAACCTTGGTGACCTGGCTGCCTGCCAACTTCCAGACATGAGTGAGGCAATTCTACATCATCAGCTGCTGGCTGCTCCACTACTGACCACAGACCTGAGAGAGCACTGTAGAAAACAGCTGGCCCTCTGCACAGGAAGAGATCACTAAGAATAAAGAGACAACCTATAAAATGAGGAAAATTTTTCTGCCAGCTCCTCCTCAGACAAACTAATACGTGGAATATATAAGGAACTAAAAAATATTAGACCCCCCCAATTTAAAGATCTAATAAAAAAGGGTGGGCTGGAGATTTAGCTCAGTGGTTCTACTACCTGCCTCACAAGCACAAGGACATGTGTTCAATCCCAGTTACCAAAAAAAAAAAAAAAAAAAAAAAAAAAAAAAAAAAAAAAAAAAAAAA